ATTTCGACGAACTTGATGAACCTGTGATATCTTCTTCAGGGCGAAAAAGGAAAATAAAAGCTGAAACGTTTTCACGGAACCTTGCAAAAGCAGCACGTTACAATGGTGAGGGATAAGCTCCGCGTATTGTGTGTAATCACATCCATACAGTTTATGAACACAACAACAGCAACGTTTGTCATGCATCTACATTGTCATCTGAGGAGATTACAAAGATTAAACAAGTGTTTTTTTTAACTCTAAAACATGAAATGTGGAGTTATCTTCTTTTGCCAAAAAACGACTGTTGGAGTTATCTGCTTTTGCTATAAAACTAATTTTTAATATGTAAAAAAAACATACTTTCAATGAACTTTAATTTTGTAAATTACCTGTATTTGTTTAAGTTATTATTACTTAATCAAAACAACCCAACTGCAGTTTGATTGATATTACTTGGAATGTGCAATAAAAAAATTGAAATGGAGTTATTGGTTTTTGCAAACGAACTCTTCATATATAAACATGTGTGGTCTTTACTGTGGGAAAACTATGGTGTTATAGGCTACATTGCAGTACATTGCAAATGTAGGATCTAAGATGATGAATTACTCAACTGATCTGGATATTTTAAGGCATTTTGCAACCTCCTGTTCTTGTTCACCTGTAAGCCAAGCCGCAGTACAGAGGCCTGTCAGGCTGACTGCTCCCAAATTAGACAGATATGATTTGTGAGAGAGTAAGAGAGAGAGCTTTTAAGCTTGATTCAGAAACAATTGAGGGCCAAAGCGAACAAGCATTAAGTGTTATTTTCCATTCAGTGTGTGTGCAAAGAGGTCACTAGTCCCGGGTCAGTATTCAAACAGATGTGCAGGAGCCATGCCAATAAAACTGTTCACAGATCAGCTGCAACTTCCCACCCAGAATATCAAGCTTTGCTGTTCTCCTTCATGGCAAAATGTGGAGATTTAAAGGTACAGTTCACCCAAAAATAAAAATAGCGTGATTATTTCTCACCCTCATGTCACTCCAAACCTGTATGACTTTCAAAAGCACAGAAAGAGCAGCACAAAACCATTCTTCAAAATTACTTCCTACAGGATTAGAACAACATGAGGGTGAATAAATGAAGACAGAATTTTAATTTCTGAGTGAATTCATCTTTAAACATGTCAGATTAGCATTTAGCATAATAGTCTTCATCTCTTGACGTTCATTTAAAGAGCTGTCTGTCACACACAACTTATTCACGTATGACTGAATTGATGTGAATGAAAAAGCTCAATCCTGTACGACTATACAGACTAACCCTAAAATGATTCTTCTCCACTAGAATAGAATCGTCTGCTCATCTCAATGGATTAGCCTAGTTATCGCGCTACGGAAACATCTTAATGAAGCCGTTTCAATAAAAGGAACTGGGTCCTTTTAGCGGCACACCTGGTTGTAGCCTGAAAGGATATGCGAGAGGGTTTTTCAGGGAGCTGTTTACCCTGTGTCTAAAAAACCCATATGGAGACAGAAAAGCTGAGAGGAGCAACAAGCACCACCGGGCTCCCCGTTGAATTGCGCTTTTGAGAGACTGCGTTTGGCAGTCCTGCCCGCTATCAGTTGGCAGGTGGTGGAGCATTCTCCGAATCATCTGTTGATCATTTAATTACAGTATGTTTCAAAGGGGAAGAGGGACCAGGGCATCTTAGGAAGCAAAGTTAGGATCCATGAGGAGGAAAAACAGTCAGGAAAGGGCATCACATAAAATGCAAGCTTTCTATATTCACACTGAGAGGGATAAGGACAACTGAAGGGCCATTGGGTTTCTCGGGGGTAAAAGCCTTTGCGATGGAAACACAATTGTGTTGGCCATTTACTTAAGGAAGCTCACTATTCTCCAGGTCTAATCTTAAAGCACTCGTCTCTGAGTTCCCATGAGAACTAACATCCATCCACCTGCACTGTATCTTATCCATCTACACACTACACGAGCGCACACACAAACACACACATACAGAGCTGACAATCACGGAGACAGATCCTCAAAACCAAGAACACAAACACGCTGCTCAAACTACATTGAGATAGAGGCCTGACCGTTTACTGCTAAATTGAAAAAAGACTTTATTCGACATGATAAAAGACTGCCAGACAGTCCAATGCATTTAGTGTTAAAAGAACTTTTCACATTAAAAAAATAAAAACTGTCATCATTTACTAACCCCTATATAATTCACTTTCAAAGTGAAAAAAGTGATTTAAATCACTTTCTTTTTCACACAACACACAAAATATTAATACTTAGGTATTGTTAAAAAAAAAAACATCTGGGGCTGTCAAGCTATAAAAGAGGTACAGATTGTGTCTCATTTGTAAACAAATGTAAATCGTTTCAGTAATTAAAAATAAATATGAAATAAAATAAAATATAAATATTAGATGAAAAACTAAAACTGGAAATGTTGTCTAAAATTATAACTGAAATAAATATTAATTAAAGCTATATAGAGAAATAAAAAAAACTGGGAAAAAAAATTAAAAGCTAATTTAAAATATTAAAGGGGTCATATGATGCAATTTAATTTTTTCCTTTCTCTTTGGAGTGTTACAAGCTCTTGGTGCATAAAGAAGATCTGTAAAGTTGCAAAGACTAAAGTCTCAAATCCAAAGAGATATTCTTTATAACCCAAAGTTGATTTCAAAACAATACCAAGGGTACGTTAAAGACAAGCACTTGTCTTACACACTTTTAACAGGCTAAAACATCCTTCCTTTCCACACATAGCTAAAGGCGCACTCGGCTTGCCAATGCTGAGTCATGCTTATTGCTGTGTCTAGCGTGAGCTTCACCAGCACCACTACCACCCTGCGGCAACATGGGAAGCGGGCACCACCAGCCCAGCCAAGGTCAACACTGTCTGTTACCGCATGCACGTCCCACACCGCATAGAGGTTTGACTGTTCATTCCAGTGCTGAGTGAACGCTCACACATTAAACTTATGTCACTCAGCCTGAGTGCTACAAATATTAGCGCGTTTCCTCTATGAAAGCAATGATAGCGTGTCACACGGAGAGACGGATGGATGACTCTAGATGGACTGTCTGCCATGCTTTCGGCAGCTAAGGGGGAAAAATTGGTTTGAGGCGCAAACTCTTGAAAGAAGGCCAACAACAGACAGAATGGGGGGTTTCTTTAGAGTAACCTTCACACTACATCACAGAATTTCCCTCAACAGACGCTTGCATTTCTCAGATGTTCAACAGATGCATTTATGGAGCCCTGCCAACGCGTCTAAACTCAAGCCAGAGTTGGAAGGGAGAGGCGTATCGCAGCTCTCGCAGGTTTATTCAGAAGAAAATTTTACATATCCATGAAATCTGAGTGAATTATATTAACACAGTGCTCAATTTTAAACCATCATTTAATTTTAAAATGTCCTTTAAAATTTTTCTATAATTTCTGAAATCATATTATATTAAATTTTAGTCTACTTTACCCAAAGTAGAACATCATTTTAATATAGACAAAAGTAACATTTAATTTGAAAAGTGAAACTACTGATGTATAGTTAGTTGTTCATGTGATTTATAGTCATATTTTAAAATATAATATCTATCTATCTATCTATCTATTCTGCTATATTAAGAGGTTTTTTTCAAGATATTATGCTTATTGATAAGCATATAACATATATGAATAACCTCAGTAATCCTCAGAGCTGTCTTGAAAGACATGGGAAGAAAATAAATGGGGTCTTGCGCTTTTTTCCCCTCATATTTTTATCAACAGTAAGTGTTCGTCTCATCCTCATTATGGCTTGTGAACCACAAAAAAACCCTTCATCAATGAACATTTCCGTCACTAATTTTCGCTGACTAGATTAACAGCGTTCACACCGTGTTTCTCTTTCAGCTGAACGCAAC